AAACAAATTTTCATATGATAGCCAACCAACTTATCTATTTACATATAAAACAATGCCGCCGGCTTTTCATTTGCCTCCACTTTTAAAAACATAGTGAATATGTTTATAAAACAGGTTTATTTGTCCGTCATTTAAATTCGCAAAAAACAATTTGTATGTTTCCAAAAATAACATTTTAAATTCCTTGTATAATATTTCTATCGTTTCTTCTAAATTACGAAATTGTTCATCTCTGTATAAAATATTAAGTTCGATTTTCAATCTATCTATTTCAAAAACATTTGGATATATTTGTAACAAACATTCAAACGATTTTTCAGGATATTTGTTTGCATATTCGGGAAATTTTAAGGAATCTATTAAAGCAAGAAAATTTAAATTATGTAAATTCCCAAAACGAGTAGGTACTTAACTAAGGGGAAATATTTCTAATTCGTCGCAACTTTTGCCTCGTTTACTTGGTTGTCCAGTAATATTTTTCGCATAATTCAAAATATTTTAAAATTTTTCTTCGTTTCTTAAATCAGAAATTCTTTGACTAGTGATTTTAATTTCTTTAGAGCAGTAATTTACATCATTACGTCTTTAAAAAGTATTTCAAAGGATAAGACAATATTGTGAGATAGGTTCATTATTTGCTACCTATGCAGGTATTAGATCATTTAAGTATCTATTAAATTACGTTAAATTTAGTCTTACTATGTTTTGTTGTAAGGAAGTTGTTTTTTATTTACTTTAAATTAATACCTGCCTTGTCCTTATCTATGAAACTTTGTACTATTCCTCACACTGACATTAGACACTACCCGCGTACTATGCAACGCGTACATTAACCGCGAACTGAAACACTAAAGCTATAAGCAGCTTTGAGCCGGCCTCAGTTCCCTCCTAAATCACGTTATTTTAACCACCTCGCGTGGAGGGGGAACTGTAGCATATTGTAGGCATGTGTGACGCGCCTACAAGCAAAGAATTTCTAGCCGCACTGTGGTGGGGACTAGTAACAGTATTCAATGCCGCGTTGATGGAAACAGCTAGCGGCGATATGTTCAATATTCAAACAATTATTATTTTATACTGTTATTTCGATTTTTGATAAATGTAATAGGCAATTGGAAATTAGTTTACCTAACTGTTTATTTAGGTAAATAGTAGAATAGTAAATATTAAAATATATGTTGTGAGAGCCAAATTTTACAGTGAGATCCGGCCTGAGTTGCTTCATACGACGAGCCGCCACTGTATTGTGACTGGTTTTTCTGTATTTTTGTGCAACTGTATCCAGTCAATAGTATTGTGCTTTTAAAAAAATGTTAAGTTGGAATGTTTATACGTACATCGGTCCTTTTTGCTTATTAGAGTTGGCATGTGTACAATGGGCTGCTGTGACGACGTATTTGGTATGTATCAAAAAACCAGAGCATCCAAGAACATCTTGACCATACTTATTTTTGTGCAACAGAAGAGCCATCCAAGGATATTCTCCTATAAAAGCTCTTCTACCGCCTATTATTTTGTCGTGGCTTGGCAGGTCTTTCTGACGACCGCAATGTTTTGGTAAAACATCATCTTCCGCTACAAAAAAAAAGGTAAGACCTACACTCAGTAAAACCACGGTTTTAATGAAGCCCGCCTCTTTAATCTTTGTCTGTTGAGTTGAAAAAAAAATGTTCTTTTCAGAACTCCGAAAATTCGGCGTTTTAAGGTAAGTTAAACGAATGTTTTAAGGTTATGTTTCATTTGTTACTTTCTTATTTCTTGTAGATTTGTGTAAAAATGACGATTACACCGGAACAAATAGCTTTTCGTAGTGGTATATGGAACGCATATGGAACTTGGTGTTACTCTGTGCAATCCTGTATGGAACAATGCTGCTATCGTATACGGTTTGTTTAAAAACTACAAATTAAGCCTTATCAAAAGATATGAGGGAAAACATTGCATTCGCAAGGGCTAGTCGACAGGCAGACCTACTGCTTTAACAGAACCATTTGTTGTTGAAGATACTCTAGAACAAATGGTGTGAAGTCCCAAGAAACCTGTTTCGCAGTTATCTGTTCAAACAGCTACCGCGATAAACTTAATAAATGTAGTTTGAAATTGTAAATTTTTTAACATAAAGCGGAATTGGGCTCCAGAAAATCCGCACAATTTTATTGAAAAGACGTTACATCCTCAGAAGATGGGTATCAGTAGCAGTTTCAAGAAGACATATTATTATATAAGAGGCCCAATTTTTTTTCCGAGAAGTAATAAATAATGCAACAAGCCCGGGAATTAATACATGGCGATAAACTGCAGCATGGGTATTTTCAACAAGATGGAGCTACAGTACTAGTCCAGGGCATTTAGATCAAAATCGATCGGAATAGCGGAAATTTTTAGGTGAAGCAGATATCGAGATGCGGTTTTCTGCATTGTGTTCAGGAAGGTCCCAAGAAAAAAGTCTATATCGTCTGGTTAAGCCATTTTTTGAATAATGCTTTCTGGGCCGGAAATTGCATTTTCCAATTGCACTATTACTTGCACCATTATAGGAACGACTGGAAACTCGGAAAAATCGCTCGGAAATCGTTACTCGGGGGTTTTTGGGGCTGCCGAACTCGATTCTGGCATTAGAATTACCCGGGGGTGCACGGGGGTGGCTCTGTGGGGGTGCGCGGTGGGTGAATTGGGGGAGAAATGACAGCGTGCATGAAAATCGCTCAAAACTCGTTACTCGGGGGTTTTCGGGAATGCCGAATTCAATTCTGGCATTGGAATTACCCGGGGGCGCTCGGGGGCGGCTCTGCGGGGGTATCCGGGGGGTCATTCTGGGGAGAAACGTTCTTGTAGAAAAAATAGCTATTGAGCAAGAATAAATTTGANTTAATATTAGTTTTAAGAGGTCTATCATCGCTAGTTTCGATTTTCTATTCCTGATTCAATTTTTGCGTTAAAACTGTCAAACCATCGAGGTAAAAAAAATTATCGACATATATTTTTGAATAAAATTGAATGCCCACAAAAAAGGTCTGAATTTTTCGGCAGACGAGCCGTTTCCACGTAATCAAGCCTTGAAAATCGATGTTTATTCGATTTGACTTTTTAACTTTGGAATTTTGTAAATAACGAACAAATTAATATCTGAAAAAGGACAATACACATTTTCAAAGGAAATTTAATGCTCTACAAAAAAGGTTACTTAACATTTTTGCATAAATTTACTCCATCAAAAGTTATTCAGCATCGAAGTTGAAGTAAAAATTAAATTTTTGTTTTTTTCATTTTGGACCCAATTTTTTTCACTCAATGGAACAAATTGATATTATACATTATCGACAATTATTATTCTATCAATATAATCACCAAAAATATCCAAAATTCATAATATATTCACATCCATTCTCGCTCAAGTACGTAGTTTTTCTGTTTCAAAATAATTTTAAAAATAACAATCATGTAGTTTTACTACTGAAGATTATTTATTTATAATATTATATTCATTAATATATACGAATTCGCGTCTATCAACTTTCCTCCCTTACCCCTCTATTACTTTCGCTTTTCCTCAACTTATACGTCGACTGGTGAGTGAAAATGACCTTGAATATTTATATGAGCCATAATCTGATTTTTCTTTCATATAAATGTATACAAAATTGTTAATAAATGATTTTCAATAGTAAAACTAAATAATTGTTATTTTTGAAATTATTTTGAGACAGTAAAACTACGTTCTTGTAGAAGCTATTGAGCGAGAATAAATTTGAGTATATTATGAATTTTGGATATATTTGGTGACTATATAGATAGGGACAATTATTAATATTGATATATTAATAATTGTCGATAATGTATAATATCAATTTGTTCCATTGACTGAAAAAAAATTGTGTCCAAAACGAAAAAACAAAAATTTAATTTTTACTTCAACTTCAATCGTGAATAACTTTTGAAGGAGTAAATTTATGCAAAAGTGTTAAGAGACCTTTTTTGTAGAGCATTAAATTTCCTTTGAAAATGTGTATTGTTCTGTTTCAGATATTAATTTGTTCGTTATTTATAAAATTCTTATAAAAAGTTAAACATATCAATTTTCAAGGCTTGATTACATGGAAACAGCTCGTTTGCCGAAAATTTTCGATCAGACCTTTTTTGTAGGGCATTCATTTTCCTTCAAAACATATGTAGATAATTTTTTTTACCTCGATGGTAAAGTTTTGACGCAAAAATTAAATCAAGAATAAAAAATCAAAACTAGCGATGATAGACCTCTTAAAACTAATATTAAGGGCTCAGACTCTCACGATATTTTTTTTTCGTCATTCTGAATAATATTCTCGATATATCTTTCAAAAAATAAAATAGTCGATTTTGGCCCAGTCTATTGGTTACATCCTCTTAATGCTTTTGAATAGCTGGTAGCAGCAATTGAACGTGAAATAAACATCCTCCGATTCATCTTGAACGCGTTTTTAGTGCATAAAACGTAGAGTACATTTTTGTTTGGAAAAAGAAGATGGTCATTTTGAATCTATTATAAAGGTTGATATAATAAATTTTTGTTACCTATCTGAGTAAAAATCTTTTTGTTTATGTTAACATTGTAAGGTAAATTAATATACGTATCTATAATTTAGATTTAAATATTGAAGCAAAAATGAATAAAGCAATGACAAATTTTTGTTTTATTAACAATATTTTCATTATTTCTGACAAAGTGGATTACAAAAGATATTTTTAAAATGAGAACTTTCGCTTTCACTAAGAAAATACTTTTTTAACATAGAATGGGATAAAAATTCAAAATGTCTTGAGGAGTATGATTATTTTGTAAGTAAAAATGTAAAAAAATATTTTCTGTTGAAAAAAAAAACATATTTTGCAAATTAAAGTTCAATGTTTGTAAAGAATTTAATATGTACTCCACTGGACTCATTTTCTGTCTTTAGGGAATTTTGTGTTAATCACTGGCGGTCACGTGGGACTCGATTTATGAAAGCACTATATTATCATACCAATATTCTTGTTGACATTTCTGAAGTTGCCATATTTTCCGCAGCATACTTTTGGTGTGGTTTCTCCTTCTTGTCCACATTGGGAAGCTCGTAAAAATGGCCAGGATTCCTTGTTCATCAGTTGATTGAAGAGGACAGGACACATTCGAATTTCGAGACAAATTCCAGTATCATTATTCGGCGTTTCACATGCTATAATCATTGCTAAAAAAAGATAGCTATATTATTGCTTTTTATAATAATTTGCAGAACAGTTGTTGTTTTGTAGGTGTTTTACAGGTTGTTTATAGTGATCAAAATCAAATTTCAATCATTAGTGACTAAATTTTGTTAGTAAAATAATTATAATTTACATAAGAAAACGACATTAGAGAATTAACAATGTATTAGTACACGTTTATTGTAAAATTAAAAGTTGTATTGTTAAATTAGTTTCCACTAATAAAATTAACAGAGGCTCATTTTGTTTGTGAGACATTCTGCTATTATTTGCTTATGTAACCGTTAAACAAACAGTAGTAGAGGCAACGTCAGCATTGTTGTCGCTCAAAATTTTTGTATCAATCTTGATTTTCTGTTGCTGCTTTTTCTTCAACTACTTTGTAACTTTTGGATCCTTCAAAGTCCTTTAAAGCTCTGCTAAGAAAGTAGCTGCTGATCTGTGAAATGAATGGCCGGTGTATTTGTAATGGAGATATTTCGTGATATGTGGTTGGCAGAATTGCGTTGCGCATAACCACATGTTCTTGGATTGTTGATATCTCATTTAGGTTTCATGATATTATTATTTGAGTGCAACTTATTTAAGTGTTAGTGGCAATTTTTGAAATGTACAATTTTCTAGAACAATGCAACGTAAAATTTTGCGTCGAAAACTTATTTTCGCGATCGACGAAATAATATATCACAGACCTCAGAGGAATTCCTCTGAGTCACAGACTAACACGTTAACAATAATTTGATAAACATTTTGTAAAATATTTGTGCGAAGATTTGAATAACGAATATGTATTTTTTGTCGAAAATTTCTTTAAATTTGGCGGAAGTAATCTCAAAGATGTAGCTTCGGCCTTTAATGTGTCACAGTGTTGAGAAATATGTTTTTTTCTTTCAAGAGAGATTTTGTAAATTTTCTGCAGTGATATAAATTTAAAAAATTAAAAACAAAAAACTTATTCAAATTCCTCATAGTTTTTATTTGATTTATTGCCTTTAATACCCTGCATCTGAAAAATGAGGCACCTCAAGACAGAACTCTATCGGCTATGCTTATTTTTTGATGAGGAATCCATCCGCAATGTTTGTATATAAATTATAATAGTCTTTCCGATCTCAATTGAAGACCAAAGAGCTAGGCAGTATGTACCAGGTTCGGTCGCTACGCAGCAATTCGGTATTGAAATATTTGAAAAACTTGTTCCCAAATTTATTTAGCCGTACCCATATACAGGTCTGGTCGAACTAAACGGTGGAGGTGTTAAAAATGTGCCCAGTTGAATAATGCGCGTTCGGGCAAACGGCGCACAAACACAGCCGCACTAGGCGACTGGGCCATAAATTTCAGTTGTTGACAAAATGCCTAGCAATGTGGAATTTGGTGTGATTCAGGTAATTTTAATCTATTATAGGCACCTTCTATTAATAATTCATATTACAATTGCGAAAGGGAGAAATAAGAGGGATATTTTGTTTACCAATATTATTACAACATGGCATTTTGAAGACCTTTTGAAACAGAACGAAAGGAAATACCGCCAGAAAATACTGAATTAGTAGAACCGGTTGTTGATGAAACAGATTTAGAATTTAAAAATAAAGATCTACATGTTCAATGTCAGTGTCTAATTTTAAATATTCACGATTGTTTAAAAAAGGAAGAAAATGAAAAATCAGATAATGAAATTGTAAATAGATCTCACATATTCGTTGCGTAAAGAGGAAGCGAAAACAAAAATTTAGGAATATCGATGACATGACGAGTGACGTAATTCGTCTGACAATTTATAATTTATATAAAGAAAAGAAGCAGGTATGAAGCTGAGTTAAGCCGATTTATGGACTGGCGACTAGCCAAAAATGTCCAAACTTTCTAAGAAAACGCAGTAATGGTGTATTTTGAAGAATTATCTAAGAAATATAAATCTTCGACGTTGTGGACGATTTTTTCGACGCTCAAGTCAACGTTAAGTGCCAATCACAACATAGATCTTGGAAGCTATAAAAAGTTGCAAGCGCTAATCAAACGAAAATCCGAAAACTACGTCCCAAAGAAGTCCCAAATCCTCACAGAAGATGATTTTTGCCAGTTTTTGACGAAAGCATCAGACGACAAATATTTACTTATCAAGGCGGTGGTGGCAGTTGGACCATCTGGGGCATGTCGAAGGGAGGAATTATGTTATCTCAATATAGAAGACACCAAAGAATTCGGCAGTGCTATGCTGATTAAACTGAAGAATACAAAAACAAAGGTACCAAGGTGTTTTACAATTACAGGAAACCTTTACACTATCTTAAAAAAAGTACTGTGCTCTTCGTCCTCCTAATCTGAAGACAGGCAGGTTTTTTTTAAACTATCAAAACGGAAAATGTTCAAGCCAAAACGTTGGCATCAACAAAATTGGAAACATGGCTAGGGAAATCGCCAAGTTTTTGATGCTAGAGAATCCAGAAAGTTACACGGGACATTGTTTTCGGCGTTCATCGGCCACAATTTTAGTCAATTCTGGCTCAAATCTGCTTGCCCTCAAACGCCATGGAGGGTGGAAATCCAGTACAGTTGCCGAAGGCTACGTTGATGACTGTTTGAGAAATAAAATGGAAGTTTCGAAAAAGATAGAGTCTTCAGTGTCTTCTGCTGCCACAGAACCAGAACAACGATCGTCTACTGGAATACAACAAGAAAACAACGACCGCACGCTGAAAAACTGCACTAAAAACACGACACCAAAAATATTCTCTATTACCGAAAACAAGGTGCACAATAATACTGCTTTTCCCAGCGTAACCTTGAAGGAATGTTCAAATGTTACCATAAATATTAAATATTAGTTTCTTTTGTTAATGCGTTAGCAATTTTCTTAATAAAAACGGGTTAAATTAAAAGTTGTATTTAATTTATTTTGTTAAAGCGTTGGCAATTTTCGTAATAAAAACGATTTAAATTAAATTTTGATTTTTGTGGCCTCTGTTTGCAGTCGTATAAAGAGTATAGTAAAAAACTCGTTTGAAAACCTCTTTGCACACTCGCTCGACTTGTCGCATGACAATATGTCTCGCTCGTGTGCAAAGAGTCGTTTTCAAACCTTGTTGTGTAATATACTATTATAAACGCCTTAGAAACGCCAGAATCCAAACAACCAAGGCGACTTTGCAAGATTTCGAATAATGTTAAAATGAATTTATTAAAAAATGTCAAAAAATAAAACCTAATCTTTATTTCATGAACCATAAACAACAGAACTGTGGGAGCAGATAAAATGTTATACGCCACGCAGCAGTTAAGTATGATTTACCTCCTTTATTGTGTAAATAACTATTTGGTAGAACTAGCTTGCGAAAATTTTGAGTTCAGAAGAAAAGTAATATTTCAACAAGGCGGATGCCATGCACATTCTACATTTCTAGTGAGAAACTGTCTAGACGTTCGCTTCCCAATCAAGTGGATCGGACTTGTCCCCATTAGATTATTTCTTATGGGGATACCTAAAGCGTAAAAGTGTACCTATTCAAACGATTTTGACGATAATTGATTTACTTAATAAATTCAGGAAGCGGTTGTCACCATAAACAAAGAAATGATCTCGTATGTGTACAAGTTTAGAGAAAGATTAGAAAAATGTGTATTACTTGGAGGTTTACAAGTTGAATAGGACTTGCTTCGTCGTTGTTGTTGTTATTTCCAGTTCTAATTTTTTATTTCTATTCTTTATAGGTATATCCATCTTTTAATTAGGAAAGCTACTTTTATTTGGTTTACAGGCTACCGTTGTTAAAGGTACAATATTTACGTACATATTTAAGCATTTCTTGAGTTCTTGAACAACTTTGATTAACACAATTTTTAACGAGAACAAAATTAAAGGCACTTTGCTTAGGGAAAATTTCACATTTTGAAATTTTTGGACGCCCTGTATGTTTTAGTACATACCTATTTGATTACTGCCAATGTTTTTCCAACATAAGCAAAACTTTTTATCAAAAAAAAATTTCAGGGGCCATAGGTCGAAAACAAAGAACGTTCAGATGTTGTGTCGATTGATACGTTTGATTCAGGCGTTAAGAACTATACACATAACAAAATTTCAAAAAAAAAATGGTCGAAAGCCACTTTCCATAAAGATACTGCGCGGGCTTCTTTGGTGCTAATTGAACTATATTCTGAAAACAAATTGAATACACAATTTGTCTGTTGTATGTGATTAAGTCTTACAAAAACAATTATTTAATTTCCTTATTTGTTGATATATGTTGACATTTTACTATAAATTTATCTTCAAAAAACTGGCTTACCATGTACAGTCGCGTATCCTCCTCCATTAAAAGAAAGCAGTCCACCAAAAGTAAAAATTAAGCATAAATAGAACCACTTGCCTGACCACCTCATTTTGCAACCATAAATAATTTTAACATATATTGCCCGCTGATAATCTTTGAACTATTATCTCTCACGATTCGCTCCACCGAACTTAGGTATAACTAATGATAGTACACATTAAAGAACAAACAACAGATTTGAAACATTTAGGAAAGGCGAAAGGAAGATTAATGCTGAAAACTAATTTCCAACATCTGTGCTCGCTTAAGATATACACACAGGGTATCCCAACGAAAATTTGACCCCCCCTGTAATTGGAGAACCGAATAATATTTCAAAATTCGCCGGGACCCGTCGATTTTTGTTCTTGGGGGGAGCTTTTTTGACAGTCAAGCCAACTCGATATGTTCATCCCCCTAATGCCTAGCAACCCCAACTTAAAAATTTCAAATGCAACTACCCCACTTGTGGCACATCATTTTAAAGCCCTTTTCATTGCGAATATAGTGACGTACCGTTTTTAGAAATCGATTGAGATTGACAGAATTATTGGTTACAAACGAAAAGATGACAAACCAACTTACGCGTAGTAATTTCTACACAAATGCCCACCACTAATAAGTTTTTCATCTACTACACATGACCGCATTACCTAATTGTTATTGATGTGTCTATCAGTTTACAAAAAAGTCAGTCACTTTTTGCCAAGTTACAGGTATTTGAAAATTTTTTACCCAAAGTTCGTAACTTCTTGAGGCGCTGAATTAAAAATTTGAAAAAATTCATGAAAGCTACTCTAAATGGGCACTAAATATTACCAAAATATCAGTAAGATTAAAACTGGTCCGGTCACGACCTTAGCGATTTGGCATATGCTTTAGAAATGAAGAGAAATGGTGACTAGAGGTCATTCCAAACTATGTCATTGTCGTTACTAGTTTATATTTACTTCAGCGAGGACATATACGTTATGTTGAATTCTTATTGTATTAATTGCAAATTAGATGTTCACAATGGTTAAAAATGAGCGAAATGTTGATGCAATAAAAACTTTAATTGTATAAGCCTTATAAAAGTTTTTTTATATTGGAATTGTTTCTTTTGACGCAATCATTAATAAATTTCGTTTAATGCGCCATTTATAACTTTCATTTGTAAAAAATATCCTGGACAGTAAAATATTTGTTAGTAAAATAATAAATAATTAAAGAGTTGTCCCAACGCTATTGCTACTTCCCTAAAATTTACATGGATATATATTTTCTTGGTTCAAATATCTTCAGAAACTGAAATTTGCCTTTCTGCAATTACTTTACATGCACTAGATTACATTCTCCTTTATTGCTGGTAATTTTATAAAAAAAAAACAAGCAGAGTGTGAATTAGTAATTTTATTATAAAGATAATGTTGCATAGTTAGTAAAAAAACCTTAATTTGGTTTGCAGTTGTCAACAGTCGAACAATTTCCGGGCTAGTTGATACGACATCACTTTGGACTTCATAACGTTTCGAAAGACATATATCTTGTTCGGATTATTATTATATTTTCTGAATCTAACGATCCAAAACGGACCGGTTCCCAAATGCCTCATCTGTTCGCAATTATTTGTTATAAGAATCTTCTATACAATATTATCCAAGTCTATGGATATATTCTATACCCCCTCTTTAGTGTCAGAGTTTCTTCTGAAGAAAAAACAAATTGTCTCTTGAAACCTTAAGAAGTCTACAACGACAACAATCGAACCAGTTCGGAAATTGTCAACCAGTGGAAACCCTCTGGCTTTGCGAGAAACGATAGGAGAGTAAACGCCGCGCCGTGTCGTCACGTTGGTTCCTGCGCTATCTCAGATTTAATCCAAGGCAGGAACTTCGCTATGTTCGTGTACACTCCTGGCCAACCTTTCAACCCACAACCTATCCCAAAACTCACGATGCCCGAGGCGTACCAAATTCCATCATCAGTGCACGTCATCAGCGGTCCTCCCGAGTCTCCGGAACAGGTGTCTGATAAATCTTCGCCTCCCGCGCAAATCTGGGTGTTCTTCAGGATTATATTTGTTCTAAAGAATAGTTGTGAGCAAGTCATTTTGTCGAATGGAGGAATTTCTACGTGCATTTTTACTTTGCTGCTTGTACCTGAAAATGCAACAGGTTGATCATTACAGAAATATTTAAAAAATTTACTTAGTTTACATACCACTTTCGGTTTTGCCCCAACCACTTATGTGGTATCTAGTTGGAGTATGAGAATCGTGTTTTACCAAGCAAATGGGCTGAACGTAGTCTGAAAGAGATAATAATTTATTTGTAAATGCAAAAAGTGGAAGGAAACATATTTCCGATACATATTTCCGTTTATGATCATTTCCAATCTTTGAAGAAATTCTAAAATCACATGCGTTTTGAAAAAAATCTTTGAAACTAAAGCATGTCTTAAAAGTTAAAAGATCTTTTTCACAACCCTTAAAAATGTGAATTCAAAACATTGGTGATAATTATAGATTTTCTGAAAACTAGCATTGAAATAAGTATTAAATTACAATTACTACTGATTGCAAATCCTTTATTGTTTAAATGAAAGGTGAAATTGTGAGTTTTTTAAATGCATATACAGGGTGATTCAGTCATAAAGTCATTAATTTTAAGAGCAGATAGAGAAAAATGAGTATAATACGATGGCGTGATTAAAAAAAAATAAATGCATATTTAAGCAGAAAAAAATATTTTCAAATCATTATTTAACCCCCATTTCAGGCAAGTGTTACTGACCGACTAACGTCAGCCGGCTACGTTATGAACAACGCGCCCTAGATGCAACCTTGCCATATTTATATATTTTCGCTCATATAAAGACAGTAAATAAACGGTTTGCTCACGTCAGCAAATAATAATTTAAAATGCTATAAATTATTTTTTATAATTATGCTATCGACACATTAAATTATTGCTGCCCAGCAAGAACCTCGATGAGGTCTGAGCATGCCTTGCCAAAAATCAGTTGTTATTAACATCATAATGTTAATGTTTGCTGTAAGCCTTCGGGCTTACTATTATGACTATTATGGCTGCAAAGAAATTAGCTCTGTTTCACTTTACATCAAATTTAATATTGAAGTTACAAAACTCCAAGAGTTCAAGTAATTTAAATTTCATTTCACAACCATTTCAATTTCATTACAAAAATAATGACATATAAAACCAACACTCACTAGATAAATTATAAAGAGAGGGGAAATGTATGTAGTATTTATATATTGACTGTAAGTAATAGAAGATAAAAAAACAATAGCACGGAGACAAATAAACAACTCGGTACGTGTTTCCGACCTAGGTTAACCTGTATCTAGGTCAATGACCCACTTTTTAATTTGCACGTGTACAAATAGTCCAGGAGCCAGATAGGGTGCCGTGGCCAACAGAGTGCCACGGCTGCAAACAACTTATTCGTAGTATTTTGAGCTCCTGAATCCAAAAAACTTGGTCGCAAAGCCTGAAAGTGGTGAGTTTAATTGTTATCAACAAATTAAATGTTTAAATGGCTGTAAAAAGTTTTTATTTTTATAGCTAGTAAACGGAACCCTATCTGGCTCCTAGACTAATACGAACTGTAGTAGGATCGTATTCCATGCAAAGTAGAGCAAAAAGTTGTCGGTCTTTTATCAAAGGAAAATTGAATGTAATGAATAGGGATGATTGTTTTCCAATGTACGGTTATTACAATTTATCATTTTTAATATTATTAACGTTTTAACGTTTTATAATTTATTATGTTAAATAATACACAGTTTTAGTATTTCAATTTATTATTCAATATGCAGTTGCGTATAACCAAAGTTTACATAATAAATGTAAACTTTAGTGTAAATATAAACTTTGGTGTAACCTAGGTAGGTACTTATTGTTTTTGAGAAAGTAATATGTTTTTTACCTGTTTAAAATGTCAGCACGAGTAAAACAGCGTTCATCCGTCCAGCGCACTTTGTTTTAAAAATAAAAATAAAGTTAGCGTCTGCTGCACTTCGATTTAGCTGCAACTGCAAAATTCAAGACGATTGGGGAAATCAGCTGGTTCTAAAGCTTGAACTTTTTGAAAATGGTACGGGTTGAGTGAATTCTCGCGCAATATCCGCCAAACTTTGGTTTGTGATATCTCCAGTCGCCTTGAAATTGTTCTTGTGGAAATAGTAGGCTGCTCCTCGACTAAATTTAAAACAGCCTCTATCACATTTAAGTCATTTTGTCGATGTCCTGCACGTTCGCTGCGCGGTATGGTATGATAGATGCAGTTGGAAAAATGCGGGAGATATGGAAGGTGGTAGATTTGAATAAACGCTTTAAATTGTTCATGGTTTTGTAACCGTGTGTAGTGTATTTTGTATATTTGGGTATTTAGTAGTGTGCCGACTTTTTTATTTGATAAAATGCATTGTGCCTACAAACAGGTAATTACCTTTGCTTTATTTATTTTCTTTTAACGAAAGTTGACTTCGAGAAGTCAGGCTTGTTAAAACATTCTGCACTAAGTTAATACAATTGTTAAAATTATTTATAATAAAATGCAGCATGCTCCTTTATTTACTTGAATACGTTTAACAGTAAATGTGAACCACACATTATGATGTGAACTTGGCAACGCTGTTCGCTTCAGCCGACAATTGTTCGTGACATTACGTTACAAAATTGTCCGAGCATCCGGGCATCTGCCAGGGCCGCCCTCGTAGCGGGAGTTATGGGTTAATTTCCTTCATTTTTAAATGTCGAGTAAAAAATTTTTTTTCCGATTTTCTGTCTTTATTAAACCTTCCGAATACGTGGTTAAAATTAATGATATTATGACTGAATCACCCTGTATTTACAATATCTTCCTTACCTGTCAGACGAATATTTTCTTTTAATCGTATTATGGCGATATCATTGTAATGTGCTATTTCCATTGGGTCATATTCAGGATGTGTAGTCACTTTGGCAACTTTAGGAATCTGAGTAGCTTTTCCACAGCCAAATCCATAAGACGAACAGTCAGTGGATGTTTGAGTATTATGTTCTCCAAGCAAAACCGAAACTCTGAAAATTAACTAATGTAAATACATCTGCTCCATGACATTAACTTTTATTAATGTATACAAAATATAGAAAAAAAATAGGAATATCTAAAAGTGCAGTTAATTGTGTGTTTGTTTTAAATTCATCAAGTGAGATGTGTCTTATTTCACCAATTTGTTAACTAAAATAAAGGTCAAAGGCTTTAAAATTGGTTTTCAAAGAGTCCGCATTTTTATTGCAAAAAGCGTTGGATGTTAATGACATTTATTGAAGAGACGGTCAATCCAATGACCAACATATGTGCCAATGGCCGACTCGATTGACTGTGAAACTGTTGCTCCGGGTAATTGTTAATTAATTTCATTAGTTTTTTTTTGCAACTAATTGTTTAATTACTAAACGTCAATTTTAGAAATTAATATCGTAAATACCTATAGGTTATAATTGATCCAAAGAAAAATAGAAAAACAAAAATTTCAAAAAGTTGAATTGCTCTTTACAAATAACAAAGTAGGATGTGTAAAACAGACTTATAAAGCAAATTGTCCCAGGGTCAGGCAAAAGCCGCTCGGGAACTCGCTCTTTTTGCAGCAAACATAACTTATTTTTACGATAGTTTAAATTACAAATTGGTGAAATACGACTTTAGGTACCTTAAATTGTAGGTAATTTAATTGCCTACAACATGAAATAACTAATTTTCCGATATAGACTAGGGCGAATCTGTCGAAATATCCCACTTCTTGGATGTAAGAGGGGGCAAGCTAATTTTTGCTGGAATACCTTCAGTACAACTCACATAATAAAAGTGTAGATCCCTAGATCTGAACGAGGTCCGGAACATTTTCAAAATTGCAAAAATGTTTAAAAAATTTAAAAAGTACCTATTTTATCTGAGTTTTTTACTTATATATTGGAACCTATGCATTTTGGAAGAATATTGAAGAGGAAAAAAGTTTAGAATTGAATTTTGCACAGTATACTGTAAGTTAGAAATGTTTAAATCTATTACTGATGTTACAAAATAGCAATAATTGATGAAAAAAGCAAAATAATCAAGTTTTTTAGATAATTTTTTAAAAATATTTTAATTCCTCCTAGGGCTTTCTAATTTTGGTAAAAAAAACTTGCAAATTTTTACACATAGAAAAGAACGCTCAACCTTTCAAACAGTTTTTGAAAAATTGAAATCGGTTGATTAGGACGGCCACAGTAAATTTTTAAAATTACCACTTTTTTTACTTTTAAACAATTAGATAACATTTGTCAATTTGCAATTTAGTTTTTTTTCAAAAATTATAATTTTGAAATATTCGGAAAGTCGCTTTTTTTTTAGAAAGGTTAAATTCCGTTTATTGGTTCTCGAGATATAAGCGGTCAAAGTTTATCGGCATTTACCGTTAATTTATAAACAATTTAGCAATAATCTTTGGTCCAGTGGCTTCGTTTTTCCGAGTTCTAAGCTGGAAAAAATTTTCATATCCATAAGTTATCGGCAACATAGATAAATCAGCGGAAAAGCTGTCGCTCGCACGCGCGAAAAGTGACTCAAAACACGAAAAGTGGGGGAGGGGGCTTTCGCTCCGAGACTGAATTCGGAGGTTCAAAATGCGAAGGTACGAAAAAAATTGCATTATCTCGGCTTCTAATGGACCAATTTCGATCTTTTTTTTAATCCGATGTCTCGCGAGCCAAGGAATTCGAATATCGTAATGCCAACTGTCTAATTTGCACATATTTTGTTATAAACAAAGTTTATTATTTATGCATTAAATATACTGTATATTTTACCCTATGCTATTGCATTTTTTCAATGAAAAAATTTGTTTACGTATATATTTCAATACTGAATATGAATGTATTTAGTTATAATTATTACAATTATTTAAATAATTTTTGTTTAAACAAATTAAAAAAAAATTATTTGGAAATAAATTTTTTTGTTAAATACAGATAAAATTAAGAAAAAATAGTATTTTAAAATTATAATTTTTGAGAAAAACTAAACTGAAAATTGATAAATGTAATCTAATTTTTTAAAATAAAAAAAAGTGTTGCTTTAAAAATTTACTGTGGCCGTCCCAATCAACCGATTTCAATTTTTCAAAAACCATTTGAAAGGTTTAGCAGTCTTTTCTATGTGGAAAAATTAGTATCTAGATGCTTTATTTAAAGCTGTGCAACATTTTGAAAATCGAATTTTTTTTTTCAAAAAATTATTCTGCGAAAACTATAGAGTCGATTTTAATGAAATTTGGTGTTGTTTTATTATACTCTAAAGTTTTTTTTTACCAAAATTAGAATGCCCTCGGGGCAGTTAAAATATTTTTAAAAAATTATCCAAAAAACTCGATTATTTTGCTTTCTTTTCATCAATTATTGCTATTTTGCAACATCGGTAATAAATTTAAACATTTTTAACATACAGTTTATTGTGCAAAATTCAATTCTAAAGCTTTTTTTCCTCATCAATATTCTTCCAAAATGCCTAGTTTCCAAGATATAAGTAAAAAACTAAGATAAAATAGGTATTTTTTAAACATCTGTGCAATTTTGAAAATGTTCCGGGCCTCGCCCAGATGTAGGGATCTACACTTTTATTATGTGAGTTGTACTGAAGGTAATCCAGGAAAAAATGGCTTGCCCCCTCTCACATCCACCTCAAAACAGATTAAGTCTACTAATATTTTTTTACGTTCAAACCAATTCGACTGGACTTTAAGCTCTCACTTTAAGGTGTTTCTATACGTACATGGGACCTCTACGTCCAATAGAATAGGGATGGGCGCAGTGGGCTGCTGTTATCACGTATTTGGTATGTATCAAGAACCCCGCGCAACCAAGGGTCGTAATTCCGTAACGATTTTTGTGCAAAAGAAGGGCCATCCAAGGGAATTCGTGTAGAGAAGCTTCCCTACCACCAAGTACTCTATTACCAATAAATACTTTTTGATGGCCGCAAGATTTCGGCAAAACGTCGTCGTCCACTAAAAAAAAAATGTTAATCTACATCTGAAAGCGATCAAGTATATGAATATTATTTTACCGACGTCTTTGCTAACATTTCTGAAATTATCGTCATTTCCACAGCACACTTTTGGATTGCTGGAGTCTTCATTCCATAGCCCACAACTTGATGCGCGTAAGAACGGCCACGCCTCTCTGTTTTTCAGTTGTTTTAATAGGATTGGGCAGGTCTTGATTCCAACGCAATATCCAAGGTTACCATTCGGCGTTTCACATTCCGTAAGCATGCCTGAAAAAATTCAACAATACAGTTTGTTATAAGTTAAGTTTTGAAAGTTAGTAGGTTTAGTATGTACTGAGTATTTTCGTATATTTTGAGCTTGAGTTGTTAAATACGCAGGCAGGAAAAAAATGTTAAATGTGCGAGTTGTATGAATTTTCATGAAGCGGCAAAATTTTGGGAGATGATGTTTGGTTCTATTGATTATCACGCAGCCCTAATGTTATACGTGTGACTTCAAATCAGTAAAATTTGGTAAAATAATAAAACAAATCGATCTGTATTTAGGTACTGAAAGTGTAGATAAATTTAGATAAATAAAATTGATATAAAATGTAGCTAAAGCAATATTGCCAATTTAATTATTTACAACAAGAAACTATATTGTATTTAATAATTCCTTAAACTCGACATGAAGATAAATGTTTGTAAATGTATTTAAATACAGGTTACAACGAAATATTTCTTACATGAAACAAAGCTTGAGGTAAAACCAACAGTAATATTACATGTTTTACATATACAAAGGATTTATGGAAATATTTATATAAATGACCAAATCAAAATGTTTCTTTTACGAAAATTAATTTTTTGTCATTTCTTACATTATAAAACATAATGTGAAATACGTTGTTGTGAATCTGGTTGCCTAAGTAATACCAACTCGAACAGGGATGGGCGGGTAGACAATGTCGACGTAGACAATGCAATTGTCTACGCGTAGACAATGATCTAGATGAAGACTTAATTTGGAAGAGTCGACAATGTAGACAATGTCGACAATGTCAACAATTAAGAAACTCTCAAAACTAGAAAAAGGTGTGGTAGGTATGTACCTCAAAAAAAGAATTTCGTAAGGCTGTAACTCGTGATTCTTGCAAAAAAAGAAAAATTGAAAATTTGGAATTTGGAAAAGTACCTACCTATCAGTATCACAACCATCTATAAAAAAAAATGTATGAACCGAGTAAAAGATCAAACAATATTTGCCGAGAATTCACGAGAAAAAAAAAAGTGTCTCGCTTGATGCTCCTCGATAGTTTTAGGTCCGGTCAGATTGACCAACATTTTTTTTTTCTATAAAATCTCTAAATAAAGATATGTCGCATATATTCTTTAATGAAAATTATATCATTTTTAAAGTCAGCAACAATTTGGAATATCTGATTAAGTTTTAAGAACACTTTGTATAGTTATTTTAGTTTAGTTAGAACACGTTAATTTTATTTTTTCTAAAAGTGAGTTACAGAAATTAATAGAAAAAAATTGTATTAAATATTTCTACTAATTTATAATATAGGTACCCTTTCAAAATAATTTTTGTTTCAATCCTAGATCATATTATGTAAATATATAAGATCTAAGATTTTAATACAAATCATATAGAGCTGAGCTTTTCAATAAACGATAAATGGTAACATATTTCTGTAAATATTTGCAGAGGCACAAGATAATGTTTTTTATTGCATTTTCTCAAACTAAATATTATGTGTATTTATTGATATATGTACCTCTATACATATACGAGTATTATATAATATATTCCCTAGTTTTCACTTAATGAGGTCACGAATGGAGACTAAAATTTTAAAATTAAATAAACTGTTTTTTACTGACTGTCATAATTTATATATTTATATAATTTTTTTTATAATAATTTTTGTTTTAAAAAATATAAAAAAATATATATTAAGTATACAAAAATGAAAGTTTTCACTTTCATTTCGATTGAAAGAAAATACCCCATTATAAAAATACATAATTAAATTAAATTAAACTTTATTCTTTAAAATTGTTTAACAAGTGTATAATAACATAATCATCAACATTATTGGTAGTTAAAAAAATAACGAGAAATAAATAATGTATTCAAAACTTAAAAAAAATAGGTTGCAGTCAGAAGATTGGTTGAAGGTTTAATTTATAGAACATTTTGTATTATTTAATTGTCAAGCTTTCAAGTCTTTTAACTTGAGATTAAATTATAAAACTGTGAAATTTTAACCAATTTAAAAATTATTCTAAAATTAACACATAATTGTCAAGAATGTCAAGTCACCATAAATTGTCAAATGTTTGTATAAAAGAATTGATTTACTTAGCAGGACTGAATAATATTAAGCGTTAGTTACCAAGACAATTTTAATTCAGACACAGTGTATTCTTTAAGCAAACCCTCAACCAACTTTCTGACTTCAACCCTAAATTAATATGATATTTTTTTGGTCAATTTCTATGTCTATGTTCTATGTTTACGTCCGCTCATTTTATGTTTATGTGAAAACAGCCAAACAGAAAAAGTTGAGTGATGAATTGAGCACAAAATAGATCATACGTAAATGTAACGCAAATATAATATAGGTTAGATTAAACTGAAATTAGAGCGCAAACTCCGCTTTGTCTACATTGTCTACATAGTCTACGTTGTTTACATAGTCTACGCGAAGTCTACACGTAGACGTCGACAATTAAAGTCGACGCGTAAACGCCTATCCCTGAACTCGAATTTTATTTGCATTTATTGTCTTTTTTTAGTATTAATCAATTATTGGTGTATTGCATAACGTATAAAATTTAATTCTACAACAAATGTCAGTTTGGATACTATATTTATTTACTTGTATCTCACCTCCCTCTTAACTTTTTTAACTGTAACTATTAGGTGCAATTTTAACTAATATAATTTCTGAGTATTGATAAATATAGCAAATATTTGTGACCCTAAGAGTTTCCGCTGATATTATTACTTGGCCTGACTTATATTTTTTATGTCCTATCTAAAAATATTTTTGTTTCTTAAGCCATGTTTTTGTATATCTTGGACTGCACAACATTCAAATCCAACTACTGCGACTACTAGGTATTACTTCTACCTCTCAGGTAGAAGTAATACCCAGAACATGAAGAATATGTGACATCACCAATTTATCTCCAGTTACAATGAGATAGAAAACATTATTGTTATTCTTTGTCATTCGCAGAAAAAAGAAATGTTTAAGCAGCCATATATTCCTTATATCTTTGTTAAATTATTCATGTTATTTTTGTTTGTTTTTTATATAGGTTTCTACTTTTTCTATATTCTTCATGTTTATTTCCGTTTTTTTTTTGTTATAATATAAACTTACTATATTCTATTATTTGGCATTGCCTGTTGCATATGTAGTTTAAATAAATACATAAATAAGTAAATAAATGCAAATAAAAACATTTACGCCTCTGAAAAATTGCTTTTCCCCCTACGTCTTCAAACTTCAAATTTATAACACAGTTTAAATTATTGAAATAATGTAAAATATTGTAATAAATATGTCTGGAACGCAACATAAAATAATTTATTATAATATGATTAATATTGTGACAGTTGCCGAAATAACAATAACAAAAGCACACGATTTTTTTTTGTATACCTTTTAACAGATTATGACCCGCTCCACAAGGAGGTACTTTAGAGAAAATGGCGCAGGAATAAAAAGTTTTTTATTTTGACCCTATTAGCATAATTATACAGTGTGTTTAGCCTACGAGGGATTCTTCTGTAACTCTGCAGCTGTAAAATTTATAAATGGTTTTAATAATAATACCTGGAATCATGTGGGCCATGTAAAGAAAATATTTTTAGCTTTACTGAGTGTTCCATTTCGCGTGGGTGCTACATAACTTTATTATTTTAAATGGAACACCCTGTATATTTTTGCATTTTTGAATTCTTTGGTTAATATTTGTTAAATGTACATGGTGTTTAAAACTTACCGTTTTCGAGATAATCAGTTGTTTTTTGAAAATATCACAATTTCAGCTCTCTAAATGAGGCTAGATAGCGTCTAAACCGTAAAAGTTAGAAACCTACAGTTTTCACAGTTCATTTTGGCATAAATTACTCTATCTTGTCATCTGTGAGCAAAAGGTGCACGTTATTCAGACTCGGAAATACTGAGACCTACATTTAATAATCTTACGAGTTGAAAACCTTTTTTTTTCAAATGGAATGACCCATATTAATTGTCATGCGTGAATGCAAAATTGAATGTCCTTTCGACTGATATAAGGTTGTGCATACTTATCTTTAACAGTTTTCCAGAAAAATCAGGTTCTTTTCTATTGTCCGAAAAAGTAGCTATGTAACAGCGTCAAGAAGGCCTTACAAAACCACTTTTCTCTCACATTTTATCGGGCTTAGGACTGACAGTGACTAAAAAAAAAACGCAAAACTGAAGTTCGGAACACAACAAGGAGAAGAATACTTAGACCGCTGATTTGCATCAATTGCTCGAAGTGTCATCCATTTTGATTAATACACAAACGAATTCGGTGTTTAAAACTGTTCAACATTGGTCAGCATGTCTGGCACAATTTCTTGAGATACTACTGCAATGCGCTGCCACATATCTTCTGCGGTAGTTGGTGGTGTAACGTAAACTTTGCTTTTTATAAATCCCCGTAAAAAAAAGTCGCAACTTGACATATCTGGACACCTTGAAGGCCAACTCACTGGTCTCCCGCGCCCAATACATCTGCTCGGAAAAGTTTCGTGTAAAAACTGACGAACCACAGCGGTATTGTGAGATGGATCACCATCATGTTGCATCCACATTCTTGGAAGTGTAGCTAAAGTAATGTCGCCTAACAAATCTTCTAGAGTGTTTGTTAAAAAGTTTAAATAAACTGCTCCAGTTAGATGCTGATCAAAAAAGAATGTTCCAATGACATGGGTTCCTAAAATTGCTCCCCACACGTTCAAATACCATTGTTGGCTATGAGTTGTCCGGAATTGTTAAGGATTGACTGTGTCATAATAATGGCAATTATAACTATTAACGAAACCATTTTTATAAAAATAATAATAATCATTATCTTGATTTAACATCTCAACTGCCCACTGACAAAACTCCAGTCTCCGCTGAAAGTCTACTTTTAGTAACTCTTGGTGTATTGGATGCGATAAGGATGTGCTGTGCTGTGCTTTTGTAAAATCCTATGTATTGACGTTGTACTAATACAATTGCAAGGCCTTCTTGACGCTGTTACATAGCTACTTTTTCGGACTTTAGAAGAGAACCTTATTTTTCTGGAAAACTGTTAGAGATAAGTATGGACAACCTTATATCAGTCCAAAGGGCATTCAATTTTGCATTCACCCATGACAATTAATATGGGTCATTTCATTTGAAAAAAAAATTTTGTTTCAACTCGTAAGATTATTATTAAATGTAGGTCTCAGTATTTCCGAGTCTGAATAACGTACACGTTTTGCTCTCAGATGATAAGATAGAGTAATTTATGCCAAAACGAACTGTGAAAAATGCAGGTTTCTAACTCTTATGGTTTAGACGCTATCTAGCCTAATTTAGAGAGCTGAAATCGTCATTTTATTAAAAAACAACTGATTATCTCGAAAACGATAAGTGTTAAACACCATGTACGTTTAATAAACTCTACCCAATATTAACCAAGGAATTAAAAAAAATAATAATAATATAAAGGGTGTTCCATTTAAAATAACAAAGTTATGTAGCGCCCACATGATTCCAGGCAACTTTTATTAAACCTTTTTTTTTATAAATTTTTACAGGTACAGAGTTACAGAAGAATTCTTCTTAGGTGTGGAGCACCCTGTATACCTATGCACTTTAATTTCAAAATCTTTACTAGTTTAACAAAAAAATCGAGATTTACATTGATTTTGAGCTATTTTTTGAGGTTAGGGAAAAATTCTGACTCGATGGAATATTTCTGATGGCTCCATCGTCTTTATCGGGTCAACGTATATGAGTGCTGGTGTCTGTGTAATCATCAAAGATTGTACCATAAATATAATATACTAGATAAATACTATAGGTACTTAGTTTTAGAGAAAGTAACAATATTTTCTTACTAATACACATGAACTTCTGTTATAGCGCTATATTCTTTATTTTAGATGTACTATCAAATTTTATATTACATTATTAAAGCGTAAAAAAGTGTTTGATGCATTAAAGAAAAGCAAAAATAACAACTTTATAATATACTAAATATACAGGGTGTTTCTAAAATAGGGTTCCAAATTTCTGCTGCGTTTATAACTCATTAAAATAAGCCAAAAAGTTCCTATTAACAAGTGCCCTAAAACGCACCCTTAGGAAGTTATATGCCCTTAAAAGAGCTCAAACAAAACTGTTTTTTTTTTTGTTATTGACAAAACG